CATCAGTGGACTTGCTTTCTCCCTAAACAGAGTGTTTGTTGTTGAGACATTTTCCATGCTGATAAGCCAGAGGCAAACACTGGTATCATCAGACACCTCATGTGCTATGGGAAACAGGAGAGACTTCTTTCTCCTCTCTCACTCCCTATCTAGCCTCTATTTTTTATTCTTATCTCCTGCTACACTCTCTCTGTGAGCGCTGACGGAGAGCGAGGACCCCAATCAGCAGACCAGCGTTAACGCCGCTCAGGCAGTAAAAATGTCTTTTGTGATGAATGATTTCAGTCAGACACCCCCTGTCTACAAGTATGGCTCCTTCAAAACCTTCATTCCAAGCTGTGCTACCACAAACGGGCGTACTTCCCGCACACACTCAGCTCTTGCCAGCTGTCCTGCACGCTCCATGTGACTAAAACTATAACAAAAAACTCCACCCCTGCTGCCATGTGCGCTGTTGTCTACCTTTGGTGCAGTGCACTGAGACAGCTTAGCTGCGGCTGTGCTGTCTGACAGTGCAGTTTATCAGTGACTCTGGGAAACCTTTTCAAACTGCTGCCTTATGCCTGCTGTGATGGTTGTGTTATCATCAGTCTGAGACTAATCTCTCTCTCTGCTTATCTCCCTCTTGCTCTTCTAGACTGTGGGCTGAATGTACACAAACAGTGCTCCAAACTGGTTCCCAGCGACTGCCAGCCGGACCTGCGCAGGATAAAGAAAGTGTTCAGCTGTGACCTCACAACGCTTGTCAAAGCTCATAACACGACACGACCCATGGTGGTGGACATGTGCATTCAAGAGATAGAACTGAGAGGTAGAATGCAATTAATCAGTCATCCCATTACTGTAAACCCTAAATTTCCTCCAACTCATTTATATCTACAGTGCAGAAGGGAGGCAGGGAGGGTGGTAAGAGGAAAAAAAGCCACCCAAAAAACTGAGGCAAGCTTCCCAATTTTCTGTTGCAGGTATGAAATCTGAAGGTCTCTACAGAGTGTCTGGCTTCTCAGAGCACATAGAGGACGTAAGGCTCTCCTTTGACCGAGGTTTGTTGACTTCAGATTTCTGTGCCCCAGGACCTCTTGAGGTTTTAGTTCACGGGTTCATAGTTTTAAATAAGACGCTTGTTTCAGCTACAGTACAGCACAACCTAGTACTGTCTGTAATTTTGTGACGTACATGAGAACATTCAGCATTTATTTATGATCGTGTCCAATTATATATATCAGTTGTACATTTTCTGTTTTTTATCAACAGATGGTGAAAAGGCTGACATCAGTGCCAGTGCCTATGCAGACATCAACATCATTGCTGGTGCTTTGAAGCTCTACTTAAGAGACCTTCCCATACCAGTCATTACATTTGACTTGTATTCTAAATTTATTCAAGCTGCAAGTAAGAGCTCCTTCACTCTGGGCTATTCCATGCCATTACCGTTTTACTGGTACCCCGCAGTGCTCTGATACTAACTGTATTACTGATGTAATGTAGAAATTCCAAATGCTGAATCCAGACTGGAGGCCATCCATGATAGTTTGCTGCAGCTTCCACCAGCCCACTATGAGACCCTACGTTACCTGATGGCTCACCTCAAGAGGTTAGTTTATACACACAAGTCGTCAAAACAGGACATGTTTTTAGTTTTTTTTTAAAGGGTAAGGCTGGTAATGTTTTATATTTTTCATAATTTCTACAATGAATGAGTTGATCCTTTGATACTACCGCACTGAATTTTATTTTGAGTTGATCCCATGTACACCATACTACTGCCATAAATACTCTATACTATAGCTAAAACAGTGCCCAGCTTCTTTAGGAAATTATTTAGACTATTTGACTAATGATGATAATATTTCTGAGATGAATCCCTTCATCACCCAAAAAGAAAACCACATTCTTTGTTTTTGTATTTTGCCTGATTCGACTCTTCTTACAGAATAGTTATCTTCTTGTGTTTTACAGGGTGACACTGTTTGAAAAGGACAATTTAATGAATGCTGAGAACCTGGGGATTGTCTTTGGTCCAACACTTATGCAGCCACCGGAGCTGAATGCCTTGACAACCCTGAATGACATGAGACAGCAGAAACTAGTGGTGCAGCTTATGATAGAGCATGAAGAGGTCTTATTCTAAGGACTGAGGCATGCAGGCCTTATAACAGAAACGAAGGACAATTATTTATTCTGTCAAAGAGGAAATTCAAGCCACCTTGATTCTAATGATGTTTCAGAATAGTTTGTAATCAATCAAACTTGAAACACTTCTTTCTCGCATGATTGTTTTAGTTGAAGTTGGTTTATTGTTAACATTGTCTTGTTACTGTAAGTTTTGGGTTTTCATAGTCATCCAAAACCATCATTTTTATATTAGGAAAGGATCCAGTATTTTTACTACCTACAGTGCTGTTCCCTCCTCTCATTAATATGAAGACTGTCACTACCTGGTGTAGACTCAGTCATGATGACAGCACTGTGTGAAATCTGCCCCAGGCAGATTGTCAATCATTGAAAGCCTGGTGCTGTGTAAACCAAGCTTCACAGATGCAGCCAAGCTAACGTTCCTGCACGACGTGTGTGCATATTGTGATTTTGGTGGGAATGCTGGTTAAAATGTCATTGTAGATAAAATCAGATCATGTAATGATCAATATTTTAACTGTGTGTACTAAAATATGAGAAATGAGACAATTGGGCGCCCATGAAGCACTTTTTTGCAACGAGTGTAAAGATTTATTTTGTAAAGATGTTTATTTTTGTCTTTTACTCTGCATCATGCTCTTTTGTCACAATAATATATACTGTTGAAAATGATGTTTGTCGAATTTATGTCCTAAAAACAAAACTGTTCACAATAGAAAAGAATATTCCGAGTAGTGACAGTGGATTTACCATTTTCATTTGTACTCAGTGTTATGGTGAGGAAAACATAGGTGGATTAAATATTGGTCATTTTGGTCATGACTGTGCAACACATGAGCAAAGCTCCAGTTTTGTAGTATTTCCATTTACATGCTGTAATTTGGGATATTTTCAAGTAAAAGATTATCTGGGCCCCTAATTTGTTTTTCTTCTTCTAGGCCGGTAACATCGCTCGGTGCAGTAGTAGTTGCCATTCCCTTCACAATGCCATAGAAGTTAATAGTCTATACTATCTACGCTGTACCGAGCATGTTCCTTTCACAGTTGGTTTGATGTGATCAAGTAAATTCTTTCTAAAAATCCATTTTATCAAAATGTATTTTTGTGACGGTTGCAATTAAAAATGTAATTTATCAAATGATGATTTATTAAAGGATTAATGGATAGAAAACTTAAGGTTAAAATAGTGTGACTTGTTTCCCACAATTTTGGTCTTCATTTAAGAGGTTCAGTCAGAAGAAAGGCCCAGCCCTATGCTAGTGATGATTGCTTGTAGCCTGAAGCACAGTGACTCACAGGTTTGTGGTTAACAGCCTTTTTTATAATCTTGTGACAGCTATTGCCATGACCTTGCCTATTTTACCTGGAAGGCCAAATCTATTAGTGAATCTCTGTCTTGCCATATATCATTCCCATTTGTCCAGTTTTAACTGTAGGTGTGATCAGCAGAGTGGACTTTTGCCAGATACCATATGAATTTCAATGGTGAACAGTGGTGCTCTTTGTGAGAAAAGGCATGGTTGCACCACAGTATTTACACTCTGGTTTTCTATTTTGAAATATATCTGTGGTTCCTGAGAATATCACTGGTGCATGTCAGCCTTCATCAGGATGGTTTTTTTTTTAGGTAGGTAGGTAGGTAGGTTTATTGTCACAATATAACAAGTTATACAGTGAAATTGAAACTCCCTTCTGCTTTTAGCTGCAATATATAGCATTATGTCACACCTCTTTATTATTAATTTAAAGCATTACAATATGATTAGTTACAGTTGACGTTAGTGCCTAAAATAACAATTCACCTCTGCAGTATGTCAGTATGCTACAATATTACTCACTTATCATGCTGCAATTATCATTCACCTTAATGCAATGGGCCAACTGTGGTGATATGTCTTACAGTGGCTTGAATACTGAATACTTTAAGCATCTGATGTAGACATATACTTGTTGGTAATCTTTAATGTTATGGGGGAAAGAGATCGTGTCTCCTGCTATGTCAACTGCATCATCCTTTTTTTTTTTGGGGTCAATGCTGTCAAGATTCACTCAACCAAAATATTACAACGCTTTCATTTGTATGGTTTAAAGAAAGGAATACACCGAGAATGCCGACAGCTATCACACATCTCAATGTCTTCTTTAATCTTGGAAACATTGTGCTTTGCTTCCTGTTGATGCTGCATAACTGATTCCATCCTAATTACTCCCTACTGATACATCATTAAGCGAAACAAAAGTTACAATCCTGAGAACCAATTTAGAAATCAATGATCCCACATAGTCACCTTCATTACCTTCATTACATTCATAACTTTCTATGTGGACTCGCATGATGTTTGCCATACAATGACTGTAATTTAACAGAGCTGTGAGTATGACATGGGTCAGTTGATGTCAGATAGCTGTTTATGGGTTATTCTCAAAAAACTTTAATATGAACTCAGAAACGATGTCTCCTAGTCAGGGTTCAAAAGCAAGTTTTGGCATTTGGATACTGTTTTAGGCTGAATTTGTGTTTATGAGTTATTCACTGCAAAATGTACATTGACACACTGAAGGGATATTATGGTTGCTACAACTGCAATTATACATGAACGGAAAAAAATATGAAAAGAAATGTTATTCCTTTAAAGCATAACACATAATTTGAAATCTGAATCACTGCAAGTGACTGAAAATGTCAACCATGGCAATCATGCCAGTACTATAGAAGCCTACTGCACACTTTTCCCCCTGATTTACTCCTGACAACATGAAATGTACTCTCATTTTGATATTCTGGTCTGCCAGAAACAGAAATCTAGAAACAGAAAGAGGACTATTGACAATATGTGGTTACAGTGTTGCTTTTTTGTTATGGGATTTGATTAAGATTTGTAAGTATGACACAAAAGTCTAGGACAAGAGTGCCCTCTGGTGATTAATGAAGACATGCACAGATAAAAATCATTGAGGCAGGCCACATTAACATGAATTGTAAAGCTAATACAAATTAATTAACATAACATTGTTTATTTCATGAAATTAGTTTTTATAAATCCAAAACTGCCTAAATACATCTGTTGTGACACTATCAGTGCATGTAGAATGGAGATATAAATTAATGATGAATCACATTACACAAAATGGAGCTGCTGTAATTGACAACCAAAAGTAAGGCAGTACTTTTCAAATGCAGTGTAAAAAAAACAACCCCCTGAGAGAGGTCCATGTAAAACTGTCTGGTAACTATTTCACAATTCCTCAATTCATGTCACTATTTTGGAGGAAATTCATGAAACGAACACTGGTAGTTTAAAAAAGTAGAAAATAATCAGTCCTTTAGAGCTCATCGTGTTGGTAGGTGAATTCCCTCGCAGATATAAAACCATCTTTATCTTCATCCTCATTTTTGAAGATGTCATCTACCATCACTTCATGATGTGTGTCATTAGGCGAGTACCCATGTCTCTCAAATTCTTTCTTCAGGTACTCTTTCACCTGTAGCGCAGACAGAATAAAAATTACATATGAAATACACACACACACACACACACACTTAATGCAAAAATAAAAGCAGTTTAAAATAATTTCACACCTCCTGTCTGGAGAGCTTCCAGTCATCATTGAGATCCATCTCCCGGAAAGACTCATGTGACCTGGGACCATTTTGGATGTCCATGAGCTCAATGTCAAAAATGAGGGTACTGCTTGGAGGGATCTTACCTGTAAACATGTAAAAGAAGCATATCTGTTGGAACACAGAAAGAAGCGGGGCTCTGCAGCACACCCTCTCTAACATGCTTTTTTGTATGTCTATGTTACCTTTTCCTTCCTTGCCATATGCCAGAGATGGTGGGATGGTCAGTTTCCTGCGCTCTCCTGTGCACATGTTCTGCAGACCCTTATCCCAACCCTTGAGCACCTCTCGGATCCCAAGTGTGAACCATACTGGATTTTTATCCCCATCTTTGCGGCTGCCAAGAGTCACAAAGTTCCATCACAATGACCCAAATATATATTTTCCTGCACAAGGAATGTAACAAAATTGTACAGCAATACATGCATCCATTACAGTTTCTAGCAATAAATTACCTGGAATGAAAAATGGTGCCATTACTCTCCAAGAATCCGTCGTAATGAACAAGAAGCATGTCTCCATATTTTGACTTACGGTAACACATGAAGGGTTTGTGTATAACTTCAATATTCACTTCAGGCTCGGGCAATTTCCCCCCAGTGACAAACACAAACAGTGAGGGCAATACCGAACAAATAGAAAAAAGTATCATTTTGATAGACAACAGCTGGCTAACTCACAAAATTGGCATGCTCGTTTAAACCTTTCCATAAAAAACAGCACCTAAAATAAATTCACTGCAGGAATGCCAACTACGTGGCAGCCAACTTCAGCGATGAACGTAGCCACTGTTGAGCTGTCTGCCCTCCTCCATCTACAATTGGATAAATTCATTCCGAAGCCCCGCCCTTTATATATTCTCTCATTTAATTGGATATTCTTTATGTCAATCACCACAATCCAAACCCACAGTACTTAAATCCCTCTGATCGAAATGGGAACGTCTACGGCTTCTCCAGTGATCGCTTAGATCTCCATTCACGAAAAAGTTTACGCACTTTATTTACGCAGCCGAGATGTAAAGCCGAGGACGTTACTCCACAAATCACACTGTGGGCCCGATGGAGTCGCTGCAATCAGCTGTGCATCATATCTTGTTATGATAAACAAGTAATGAACGACAAAAATACATAATTAAACAATGGAAGGAATGCTGTATAAATGGACCAATTACATAAGTGGTAAGTTCACCCCACAGTCGTTGGGTGTTTTCGGTTAAAGTCGTTTGAAGGCAGCTAGCTAGCATGACGACGTCATAGCACACTTATATTGAGTTTGAGATAACGTTAACAGGCAACGGGCTAGCTAACGTTAGCTATCGAGAGCTTTCAACTATCGGAGCTTATGCGCCACTTCAATTTACTAGGTTATCTTTGACTTTGCTAGTGTAAGTTAGCTGTTTAACGAAGTCTAAGTTGACCTTATTTATGAAGTCTTAACAAGTAACCTTAGCTTTTTCTAATATCCCACCATCTGTCATTATAATCTGATTCAAATACTTAGCTGTTGCTAACATAAGGTAAGGGTTAACTCTTTCCAAGTTTATTAAGCTAACTTTTGATAAAAATACTCATACTTATTAAACAGCAACTTTACAGAAGAGATCAAAACATTTTAATGCATTTTGTTTCAGGTTGGCAGCCTCGTTGGTTTGTGCTTGATGGAGGAACTTTGTCTTACTACGACTCTCAAGAAGATGCCTGGAAAGGTTGCAAGGGCAGCATTAAAATTTCAGTTTGTGAAATCCAAGGTAGGTATGGCCCACTATATGCCCTGTACTGTGTTTCAATGTGCACGTGTGAGGGAGTAGCTTTCTACTTCCTTTTGATGTACTACTGATAAGCATGTCTATTTTTATCTGCTGTGTTTTATTAGTTCATTCCTCTGACTCTACACGAGTTGACCTGACCATACCAGGAGAGCAGTACTTTTACCTCAGAGCCATCAATGCAGCAGAGAGGCAAAAATGGCTGGTGGCACTGGGAACAGCCAAAGCTTGCCTTACAGACAACCGAACAAAAAGAGAAAAAGGTACCTGGATGCCATAACATCCAAATCTGTGCATGGATTGCACTTAGACAGCTATGTTAGTATTCTATTGTAAAATATTGTAAACGTCTGCTCATTTGCTGTTATTATTACAGAGCTCCAAGAGAACACAGAGGCTCTGAAGACTAAGATGTCAGAACTCAGATTATACTGTGACCTTCTTCTACAACAAGTAAACAAGATCAAGGAGAATGATGAGCTAGGAGACACAACGGAGGTAAGATTAGGGTTTAGATGAGCTGATGAAATAAGAGAAGCTGCTGTTGGTGTGAAACTACAGTATAGAGTTGTCCATTTGCAACTAGCAAGACATCAAACTGATGTGTGCTTTCACTTATTAATAGACCAGACAGGCAGTATTTGTTTTCACATTATAAGTATTTTTTTAATCTTAACTTTATGACGTAAGCAGATTTTGTTAGCATATTGTTGCCAAACAATATACTTATCTGTCAGGGCATTTAGAGCCATGTTGGGATATGTGGCAGTGTTAGCCAATGTGTATGTTTGTGTATCCATTTCAGACAGGCATAGACACTGGAAAGATGGTGAAGTCCACGTGCACCACTTTCCTTAAGACTCTAGAGGAATGCATGCAGATAGCAAATCGTACTTTTAGTACGGATATGGCAACACAGAGTCCACCAGGATCTCCTCCAGTAGCAGCCGTCAAACCTCAGAAGGTACATTTATGTCAACAACATTTAACTAATACACTTAATAACATCAAGTACAAAGACTATGGTTTGTTTTAAAAAAAAATTGTTCATTCAAATTGATGGTCTACTCTAAGGAGAGAGGAAAATCATGATTTGTAATATTGGGCTGTATAAATAACACTGACTTGACATTTAATCCCCTAATGTATTTTTTTCTCCAACAGATTAAACCTGTCAATCATTTAAATCTGAACCTTGGAGAGAAGTAGGTTGCTTTTTTTTGGATTATGTAATTATGTTGCATCCTCTGCTTCTCCAGCTATCATTATTGTCACATACGCCGATGTTCAAAATAGCAGTGAGGTGAAAATCAAATACCCTTTCAAATGTTTTCAGTTGATATACTATTTCGTTATTAACGTTTTATATATGTGGCTTTACACACATTTGCCATTTATATGTGTATCCCAAGTTTTAGAATTAACATAGTGAACTCCAATTCATTCCAGGTGGAGAGATTTGGCTGAAACCTCAGGAGAAACAATTGCACATGACAACCAGAACCTTGACTATGGAGCAGAGGGACCGGATGAGCCAGATAGACCAGAACACCAAACTTCCCCATCAGGTAAGTCGGGTGACCCAACCGCTGAAGGTTTCATTGAACTGAAATAACTGCATTCCTTAAAGGAAAGACTGCACAGAACAAAAGGGGCCTGGTTGTGTGTACATCATCTGAATTGATGTGGAAATATTATTTACTTTTAGTGAACGGACAATGATGGATGCCCAATTATATTAATGCATTTTCCTTTAGCGGTACGAAGTCAAAGCTACTGCCGGTTACTGAAAATAAAACCAGTCCATTTCAATTTATTGTTTTGGGTTTTATATCATACTATCTTACTGTTAAAAAACAAAAAAACAAAGATTAAAAAACAGTGATTTCTGAGCATTTTAATGGAATGTAGCACTATATAGGAATTTATTAATAGGTAAACTAAATGTAACTTTTAAAAGTAATACAGTACATAAAAGGCACCTTTCTTTTGGAACATAGTTGACATCATGTTACATTAGAATATATTACAGACATTAATTCAGACTTGACAGCTTTTAGTGATACAATTGCACCAGATAACACTATTACAAAAATGTAAGAAAAATATAGTCAGATTATTTTAGCACAATTGTTTAAATTTTTTAATTAAAAATAAACACATTGTCAGACTTTTAGGAGATATGAAAGAGTTAATAAAGCATTTTTTGGATTGTAATTAAGCTCGTAATCTTTTCTGTGTGGGGGGGGGGACCTTAAACCAACACATCTTGTAGCATTTCACAAAACACAACAGTAAATCCCAGTTGAGTGTCACAATTGAAACCAGTCACACACCAACTGTGATGCTGGATGCTGAACCTTTTAACCAGGTCAGTGCAGAAATACTTATACTACATACAAAATGTAGTGCTGCTCTTGGAGTTTGTATACATAGTTGTATGTATTTATTTTACTGAAACACTAAATAAAGGACCCCGCGACCCTGTACGCAAGATAAGTGGTTGACGATGGATGGATGGATGGACTAAATAAAGGATGAGTATGAGGTTTGCATCAGTGTACCCTATTTGCTACAACCATTCTGATGAAAACTGAGCTTTAGACTTGCTGCGACAGGCAACCAAATTCTATATGCTTGTTAGTTTTCAACCCTTTTTTGCCTGGTAACATATCTGCTATATCATACAGACATTGATGCAGCCAACGGCAACAGCTCAGTCTACGAGGAGCGAGGTGACCCTGCTTTACATGCTACCCAGAATACCTCTGAGATTGAACACTACGACCAACCAGCCGAGGGGGGTGAGGAAAATGAAGCCGAGGATCAAAGGGAGACAAAACAAGAGGAGAAGCACAGACTGGACCAAAGTCGAGAGCATGACGACAACAACAAGGAGGCAAACGTTGTCCAGCATCAGCAACAACAGGAAGCTGTTCCTGACCAAGAAGAGACTCCACAGAAAGATGAGACCTCCAGAGATTCAGCGGAGCCAGAAGACACCGAGCAGGTGGAAACTTTCTTCAGCACAATGAGTCACAGGTACGAAAATGCTATTCAGGAAGGTCACATCCTTTAGGACACGTCAGTTACTGTATGAAGTTACTGTATGATCATCTGTGATATTTCACTAGTGCAGTATTAGGATTAACCAATCTAAACTATGTAGTATTTCTGTCTTTGAGGCACTGCACTTCTGCTGCATAGTTACTTAGTTTTATGTAAATACAGTATATTAATTGTATTACTGTGTTGCACAAAATAAATATATTATTACAGGTTCGGAAGAATTTAACTGAATCCATTTCAAGATGTCATGACACGTGTTTTATATTAGTGTGTTCTCTCTTGATCACATGACACAGAGAGGCCCTCATCTGATATTTGGGTTTGTAAAGCTTTTTTGTTTTGCTCTGTATTTCAAACGTTCTTCTTTCTTTTCTTTTTTTTCTTTTTTTTTAAAGATCTGAGTGTTAAGATTGTTATTGAACAATGGACTAGAGTGTTTATAATCATTTCTGTAATATTCAGTTATGATGTAAACATCATTATAATGGAGTAAAATCATTGTCTTATTTAGTATTCAACTGCAAGATGTGGGGCTACAGTATATGCATTTTGGAGTTGGTCTTTTAAAAATGATGGAGCAGTTTTAGAGTATTTGCATTAGCAAAAAAACTCAGCTCCGTTAAGTTGTAGACAAAGTAGCAGAATAGTCTCAGGTATTGTCAGGCATAAAATTGCATGACACTGTGTGGATCTTTTCTCTGACTTTGTTTTGATGTTTGTACCCTTTTATTTTTCTGTTTGATTTGATCAAATAAAAACTGAAATGGCATACTTCTAATATATTCTCCTGTTTAAATCTGTTCTACTTTTTTTTTTTTTTTTTTTTTTAGATTTAGTGATATAAGACTGGACGACGACAATGGTATCCCTACTCAAGAGTTTTTGGATTCATGCTATGCAATAGTGCCTGTATTAGGTAGGCCAGTCACTTTCAGTCTCTCCTCATCTTAACCTGTTCCTCTTCCTGATGATGCCACATATGTGGTCATTTCACCCTTTAGAGATTTTATAAGGAAAACTTCTTTCTGCTATTTTTGTGCATGCTCTGTCACTCACATTGTCTGTGCTTGATGAGGTGATAGCTTTCTGTGTTGGGTTCGTCATCATCCTTTTATTCCATTCCCTCATTATTTCCATCTGCACATGTATGTCTTCCAGTGTTTTTTTTTGTTTTTTATTTATTTATTTATTTATTTTTTAATTCTTTGAACCTTAACATCTTATGAAAAGGTTTATCATTAGCTGATACATGTTCTTGTGCCTGCGTGTCCTTATCTGTGAGTACTACAAATAGACAGGGTGGTCACTCATGGTCACAGTAACTATATTAACAAGTGCACAACTTGAAAAACATTTGTGTTTCTTGTTTGCCAAATTTGTCAGGCGGTTGACAAAAAAAAAGTAATGATGGACGGACAAGATGCCTGTCTTGTTCCATTGTCAGTTTTTAGAGCTTTATCAGAATTGGCCCAATATTTAGGAGGAGAGGTTGGATAAGGATTGTTGGTCATCAAGAATTGTCTGGGGGTATGAGTGATTGGCAGATAAACGTTTAATCACAATGTTCAATTTGCACACATGTAAGATGGCCAGGGCAATATGATGATATATTCAAATTAACCAACATCTGCACCTGAACATGCTGAGTGAGGTAAGTGTTTAGCCAAAAGGTTGAATTATAAGGATCCTCTTTAAATTTAAAAAACATTGTGAATCTCTGTGAATTACTGTAAATTTATGTTCAAAATGATGTGACCTTTTAACCTTATTACTGTTACTATTTTCCCATGTTTTTGTGTCTATATGACTAATAGCGACAACATTTTCTGTAATTGGTTTAGTATTTAGCGAGCTGGCAGCAGCGAAACAGAGTGCTGCAATGTAATCCTTGTGGGCTAAAGTGCTTGTTTTTGCCACTGACAGGCTCAGATTGTTATTAAAAGTGTCTTGACAACAATATGGAAAGAATCCCTACAGATAGAGACCTTTTTAAAAAATATATTACTCATTATAAATTATTGATTAACCAGAAACCTTTATTGCTCTGTTCAAAACCACCAGACTCCATTGACAAAAATTGTAATTTTACCTCTTGGATGACCACTGTCTTGATTTGTTAGTTTGTGTCAATGTGTGACTTTGGTGTTTTTTAACCCTTTAAAACACCAACACAATAACACAAACAAACAAACCATTCAAGGCAGTGTTGGACCAGCAAGACATTATTCGTTTTTTTTGTTAAACAAAAATTGATTTTCTCTTTAAGGGTCCTTTCCATAATGTTGGAAGATACTCACAATAACAAACAAATACTTTATTGGATGTACTTTGACGGGGCACAATTGCCTGCGAGGTACGTCGCAGTCCTGTCTTGCTGCTGCCGACTGCAGGTCACTCGATACTGGACAAATTTTTAAACGGTCCAGGTTGAAAAATACCGAAGTTGCCCTTTAAGTGCCGCTCACCTCCCAGCTGTGGTAAAACGTTTTCAGCCCAAAAAAAAAGATTTTCATCAAATCTTGACACAGATCTAGATACCAGTGATATCTTTGTTTGATATCCTGTACGTCATGCAGCATGCTTTCAGAATTGCTAAGCATTTTATGTCTTCTAGTGTGTCACAAGCCTTTATTATTTTACCACCATTGCTACCTTAAATCTGCATTTAAAAGGTAAATTTTCTCCTGAACTTGTTCCACAGGGTTTTCTACCCTCTTTATCATTTGTTTGAAAAAAGCAGGACAGCTGCTTTGTTCATCAGTGACTATTAACAGCCACAGCATTGGATATTTAATGTAGCAAATATCCAAGCTGCAAAGAAATGATTGTGGATTTTCTCTTCTCAGACAAGCTGGGGTCCACAGTGTTTGCACCAGTTAAAATGGATTTTGTTGGAAATATCAAGGTATGTGTACATTTTTGTGTGTGTAGAATGTGTACATTACATTTTGTGCTAAACATAGTGTGACATACAGGATAAATCAATGTTACTACTATACAGTTTACTATTTAATATGTCCACAGGGAGACATTTGCTGGATACAATACTGTTCGACTCCTTGTTTAGCTTGAAAATCAGACAAATTGCTTATCGGTCACTACACGTTAGATCAAGTAACTTATTGAGCTTTCTTGAACCGGTAGAAAATTCACCAGAAGTTGATGTCAGAACCTGACAGCTTCCCCACACTACAGTCCATCGTGCTGCATGAAGTCCAGACAGATGTTACCCAGGTGCGCAACTCTGCTACCGAGGCACTGCTGTGGCTCAGACGAGGCCTGAAGTTCCTCAAGGAATTTCTGTCAGAGGTCAACGCAGGACATCAAGACATACAGGGAGCGCTAAGTGAGCCTGTTTTCTACGATACCCGGCCAGACATCTATAAACAAATTAAAATACATGGAACTTAATGTGTGTTCGCTGTCAGGATTCATCACGTTCTGTCTATTCTTTTACTCAGATAATGCCTATGGAAAGACCCTTCGGCAGTACCACGGATGGGTTGTGCGGGGTGTATTTGCTGTAGGTATTTCTTACTGTCACCAATGCGTTTCCCCACTCTGAGGTTCATCTGTTGTTCTTGGAGTGTGACTATTGCATGCTTCTGTTTTTCCTAGTTGGCGCTGAGAGCTGCACCGTCCTATCAAAGTTTCAGCGCCGCCTTAGTGTCAAAAGAGGGCGACGAGTTGAAGAGAGGCTTCACCAGCGGCATGCACAGGGATCTGGGATTGTACCTGCCTGCCATGGAGAAGCAGCTGGCCATCCTAGATGCCCTGTACGAAGAATACAACCTGGAATCGGATGAAGTGGTGTGAAATGTGAACAGAGAGATTATACGAGTTCAGGGAAGGGCAGAACCTGACTGCAGGGGCTGCTGAAGGAGGGTGCCAGATGCATCAAGTGCATCTTGTGTACAAAATAGTGTGAGCATGTCCCGTGTCAGTGTGAGGTGTTTCCAGTGGTTGTTAAACTTAAGGGCCTAAGTTTTTAAAGAAGGTATGTCTGTATTTAGGAGCCTACAAAGCAAGCACTAATAATTAAGACTATTATGGCTTGAAAAAAATGTAGTTTCTGGGTCTTGTTTAAAAGGCTGTTGATAGTGTAGGGGGTTTAAGCCCTATTATGCTCAAACCATAATGATTCATGGTGACATTTGTTTCTGGTGCACATTTTTTTTTCACTGTGTTGTGGCTTTTTATGTACTATACATGTTTTAAGGTACATAACCACAAGATTTTTGGCTTAATTTTTAATCAATCCTTGGATATTCTTGGATATCCTTGGATTGAAATATAATGATACGTGTACCTAACACAAAGCACTATTTTGACTAAAACAATGTTGGATTGTTACAATGCCCAATATATGCCTTAAAGGATGTGATGGAATTGCATACTGGGCAAATTTTTAGTGTATTAGGTAAATGTTCTTTCTTGCACTGACTGTTGAAGTTTAGTGGAAATTATGATCAATATTGATTTTCTTTCTTTCCCAGAAAGTTTAATGCAAATCCTGCAGTTTGACTAAGTTGACAAATGTTTTACATCGCTAAAATGTTACGAGAGAATTTCCATGGGACCAAAAAAGGAGCTATGATGTGAATGGTTTAATCCTCTGCTGCCTACAGTGCCACAACACGCAAGAATGAAGTAATCCAGTGTAGCTGTTAAAGAACTGTGACAACTGCTGATTATTTGTGGACATTCTCTGCACAGTGTTCATTTTCACAATGTCTATTTATTATGTCTTAAGTTATAAAGTCCACATTAATGTCATGGGATCATTTCAGCCCAGCATATGCGTGAATGTATGGAATTTTGTATCCATAGAGCATGTTTATTGATTGCATGGTTTTATCTATAAAGGAACATAGGTGCCAGTGAAATTAAGTTAATAAATAATCCAAAAGGGATAGATTGTGAAAGTTGAATTGCTTCTCCTTCATCTCTGTACTAATAATGAATAGTAGCCTTCAGCAAGTCTACTTTACAGATTTCATCATTTTTTCGCCGTTTCATCTGTGCACTGTCAATATACTTGAGCGTCATTACCAGTCGTACTTAATATTTTATGATGTCGATTCAACGATGGAAAAAAAAAAAGTAGTGGTGAGAGGTTAAAGTTTATCCACAGATTCACTGAGCCATTCGAAACAAAGCAGGAACATTCTCATAGGGCTTTTTTACCGAGACATACCATGTAGTATTTTTAACTTTATCCTAACTATTCTTTTAAGTTTTCAGGAACGTATACAGTAATAATTCTTCTGTAGGCATTTGCACCAAGTTTACGTCACGGCTGTGTCATAGGTTGATTTCCTGCTGCAGATGAAGTCCACTGTTAATCCTGAAAATATGCTATTGTAATATTACAAACATTGGATTTGGTATTTCTTCTATGATTGTATATAAGATGCTATGTGATTTTTACATAATAAATAATGGAGTTGTCTTAGTGTGTGTCCTGTCCTCTTGTAGTCAAATATGTCGTCTTATGTTTTGTATCAGATCGGTGCCCAGAGTTAAAATAACCATGTTTCTATTTATTAGACCATTTTCTGTCAAATGTGGCGAAGAGTAAAATTGCTGATGGTTCTCAACACAAGTTGATCCTATAATTGACCTTCACTTCTCTACATTTTACTTGTTTACCAAACAAATCAACAAGCAAGCAATATATAGTAAATGTGCACAGGTGTTCTAGTTTGTGTAAATAGTGGCACTGAGCTTAAATAACACCATTGTATACCTTGTTGTCTGTGTGTGAGCATTTTGCATGCGCAGCAGCAGTTTGTCCTCTGCATGCCAGCCATTCCTGCCTATAGGTCAGGGATTTTCACTTGGCTCAGGCCAACAGCTGGGTCCCTGCCTGCTTCCTGTCCCTGTGCCCTCCTTTGCATCGCCCCTTCTGCCACAAAAGTAATGGAATGTCACACCAACCGGGCTGCACTAAAATAACCCCTTTTGTTGGAAAAAGTGTTTGATTTCACTTCAACTTAATAGCTGTGAGAGCTCAGTAGATCTTTCTCCCTCCAAGTTTAACTTCATGAGCAGTGTCTTTGAGAAAGGGAACAGTCAATCTAATACAATGTTGACCACAAACAGCTAGTAGTTCATAAATTAATTTGTACTTTAAACTGTTCAAGATTCCCAAACACCCTAAAACTTCACTTGGGGGATTCTTCTGTGCGTACAGCAGATCTTTTCATTACAGAGCAGTAGAATCTGGTCGGCCACTGCATCTCCAGTGACATTTAGTGCTGTACTGAGACATCTGTGGTACAAATCTGATTGGCCTGGTCAGGGGAATGCACATGATGGGATAAACACGCAAAGGTAGAGCTTTTACTCTGGGCATCTCAGCAGACAAATTATCCTGATGTGATTTAGAAAAGAAACACGGCATGCTAATAGAGTTATAAAGTCTAGCATCAAACATCTCTGCTGCAACACTGGCCGGCTGCCCGTGCCCCAAGCTGTGTAGCTGTGCCACATCTCCAGGCACAGACTCAGCTCTGAGGAGCTTCATCGAGACAGAATGAAAAGCTACAAAAAAACCCCAACATTGCTATGTCTGAGAAAAACTGAGAGTTGGCTGTGTGGTCTGTTTACTGTTTAGTCTAACGTAGCACTTTGCAAGGAGCTGCTGATGGCATCTTTTTTCCCCTCTATATATATTTTTTTTTACAGTGAGTGCTCTGAAAGAACATCAGTAGCATCACTATCACTGTTTATAGGTTTTTTCAACAGCCTCCCAATCACTGTCACCACTTGCTCACAACAGACAGGAAGCAAAGCAGCTGACCCCCGACTAAACCCTAAAGATGCATGTGCAAGACCGAGTGTAAAGCTTTCAATGATTTAAATTCCTCTTTTATTTTCATTTCTTTTTAAAATGATCCACAACTACTGTATAAATCATATCAGAATAATGCAACAAAATGAACTTTCACTACCCAGTCACAGTGCATATTATATTTCATAAAGCCTTACAGTACGTTACCACATGCATGTTATGTTTCAGCACTGTTGTGCATAAACAGTCCAGGAGCACAGGCAGAACATTCAACATAGGTTCCAAAAGGTATTTCAGTTTTGTGCATTGCACAGTTCATCACAACTAAGGTGTGTAAAACATACAGTACTTAGCTACACCTTGGGCAGAGCAAGACTGATATTTCTTAAGACACCTGCTATACTGATGAATGCAATCATTTACAAAACCATGTTTGACAAAGTGGAAGCATTTCACACTCATTAGCACGGTATCACAAAGCATGCGGAGACAATATAGTTAACAGTCTTTATCTTTAGATCACTTTTACAGAAGAATCACCTGACTACATGTAAGTATGGCTGAGAAAAAGGTCTCCCTTGGCACTGGGACTTATACAGTACCTTATGGAAAATGTCATCTTATATCAGCAAAGTCATTTTCACCTTTGGTGCCCAACACACAGCAGACTACATTTACACTGTTAAGTTTACTGATGAGTTTCTCTGTTGCTGTATATACCATAAGACAGAAAGACTGGATAAAGAGGTATTGGAGTAAATACAGTAATGACCATAGAACAGACTGGAATTGAAATTCCTCCACCTTTTAGCAGCTACAGACTATTCCAGCCTTTCTGTGCAGTGAAAAAATTAAGGACATAACAGTTTCAAGCCTTCACATACAGTATTTTTTTTCTCACTGAAGCACAGGCAAGAAACTCAGTCTTACCTAGAGGACTACGCCTTGTCGATACTTTAAAGCTCTTGTTTGAGTTACCTGTGTGCTTCAGCTTACAGTCACTGCCATTTAATATCACAAAGAGAGTAGTGGAGGATGCCTGTGAAAGGTCCTGTGTGGAGCTACATTACCTGTTGGTTCCTGAGAAATTTTTGGATTTATGAAACCTTGCCCAGACTGAATGTCCAGAACTGTCAAGAACAGTACCACCTCAAGCTAATGAAGCCGAGTCGGCCTCTGAAAGAGTGGCTTCCTGGTATAACAAAGTCAGTGAAATATTACACATGTATAATTCATGACCTATATCCACCTTTATCACCGTACATATTAATCTTATCATATGCCTGGTTTTACCTCCAAACCTGAAATTCTTGATGTGATATTGAGACTACATAGTGCGAACCTTATCGTGGCAATAAGTAAAGTGATGGGTTACATGCTTGGATAGTGACAGCTACTGTCATGACAATCCCAGCCTCATGCAAATGTTGTGCACTGCAGTAGAATACCTGAGGCCATGGCTCTGGATGTCCTACTGCCTCTCTTTCTCAACAGTAACTGGGTCAAGATTAATACGCCTCTGCAACATCTCCCACTGGCACTTTATTAAGTCTCTGCATGGCTGTCACACAGCTGTTACATCCAGAGGCTGATTCCGGTCCAATCGGGCATGGTGAGGAGGCCAGTCTTAAGTCCTGCTTGTTAAGACGGAGTGCAGTTATCCTGTGCATTTATGTGTTGGTGAAGGTGTTCCCCTCCACTGACCGATTATAACTCCGGGGAGCTACATGGCATCTCAGCAGCGATACAGAGGAGTTATATATATATATATATATATGTTTTGTTAGAATCATTGGCTGCCTCTACCTTTAGAGTCTCTCGCTTGGAGTGTTATTGTTCTTTTTTTTTGCATGAAAATATTCCTGTTGTCATGTGTCAAGCAAATAACACACAGAGGATCCCGGTGCACTGTCCAGCTTCCTCCTCAAGTGAAGTACTTGCAGTTTGTGGAGTCAATAACACAGTATGGTGTGCACTTGAGGTGACCATATGACCTGCAAATAACAGGAGAAACTACATTTTGGTCTGTTTCACATGTCAACAAAACACTTCACATACAGCAAAGAGTTTTGTGAACAGATAGTTATTTACTGTGCTTACCCCGGAAGATATGAATTACATGTCTGGTATCCAAAGTCCTTTCCATCACACTCCTCTGCCCCTTCATAGCGGTATCCGTCACCACAGTAAGCGTGTTTACACTCTGTGGTAAGGGGAGACAGCAGGGGTAGAGGGGTCATGTTATATGTGCACAGCAAAGTACAAGTAAGGAGCTACACAGACCACCTAACATGGACACATGACTTACTGACACAGCCATCAGTGACGACTCTGTTTCTGTCATCACACTCCTCCCCGCTGGAAATCTGTACTATCCCGTCACCACAGTAACCTTCATCATCAGGTGCGTTTTCCATGGACTGGAACGGCGACAACTGGAATGGAAAGGTCTTTTACAGAGTTTAAAAATCTTGAACAAAAAAGAAAATAAACGCTTGAAAAGTCACCACCACAAAAATAAAAATGATAAAATAATCAGATTTTGCTGCATGCAATGATACCTGGACTGGCAGCCAGCCATCAATGTCTTTGAAATAGAGAGATCTCTGGTCTTTACGGAATGCAAGAGCATTATCTGTGTGAAGGCGCTCCAGTTCTTCCTCATTGCTGACAACGAATATCTGAATGACAGGCAAAGTGGGGAAATGGTTTCAGTATTTAGTGCATTTTAAATTCCATTAAATGCAATTTTGCGATATTGAGCATCAAAATGTAATAACCCAGCTATGTGTTTCAAAGTAATATACATCTCCCCAGTAGGGGTACTTTAACTCAACTCAACATCAAATGTTTAACTCAATAACCCCAGGGTTTCTAAAAATTCGGAAGTGAAAATAACAGTTGCATGAAATCATAGATTTTATATACATACGGATTGATTTAAACATTTGAACATTTTAATTGTGTTTAGATTTTTTTCACTGAATGTCAAATGATTCAGTATTACAGTTTTTCTCTTTTGATTAAACACATTTCTTGAAATTATGCTTCTTTTTTTTCAAAAAACAAATGCACAATTTCTCGCCCAATTCCCCAAACAACCTATTTTCAGGTCAAAATGAAGCTCTCGACTCAAAACTATTCAATCCTGCTGAAAAACCAAACTATGCCCTCAGAGATGACACACATGCCCTCAAAAACACACACACACTACCACACAGTCTTACACTTTGGTGAGATAAATTCAAAACAACACCACCAAAACTGGTTATAAGTAATGTTGCTTGTGGTTCTCTCCCTCAAAAAACTTATCACATGATGAACACAACAAAAGGAATAACATGTGTAAACGTGCACATTTTTTATTTCTTAGTGTACTGTCCAGTAAAACACACCAAACAACAAATTATTCTGCCCCAGCATCCTGTCTTTTTATTCTGGGACAAGCCAGAGATTCTTATCCTCCACCTCCTCCTCTTCTTCCTCTCCCTACTCCCCAACCAACTCCGACTGTCCTTCTTCCTTCACCTCTTCCTCCTTTCCCTACTGCTCCTCCTCCTCCCCCTTCCTCCTCCTCTCTGGTGTCCTCTGCCTCTTCCTTCATGTCTCTCTGGATCCATTGTTCCAAAATTGAATGAACTGACCACATGGTGTATACG